GGAGGGGAGTAAGAGATGTCTATGAAAAACAATCACTGTTAAGGACCAGGCTTTTTCCTGTGCATAATTAGCAAAAGGAGCATTCAGCCAGCTGTCCAGCCAGCAAACATTTATGCATCCTAATAGCCCAGCATATGCTTAGCGCTGAATGCGATTTCCCACTCCTAATTCCATCTTCTGTGTCTAAACTAAGACAGATCCCTCCACGTGTGCCCTTGAACCATCCCTGCTCACGGACTGCTGTTCCTCGAACACGCCAGGCACGTGCCTGCTTCCTCTGCAACCACTGGGCCTCTGCCTGGCAAGGGCTCTGACTCCCTCCTCATTTCACTCAGGTCTCTGCCCAGGTGTCACCTCCTCAGAGAGGTCATCCTCACCCTCTCTAAAATAGCTGCTCCACCCTCTGTCATTCTCTAGCTTCTAATCCTGTTTTAGTCTTTCTTCCTACCACTTATTGCCATCTGATATAGCATACACCCATTTGTGGTTTATCTGTCGTCTCTCCCCCAGTCCTGTCGCTTCTCGGCCTTTTGGCTAAGATCAAGCGTAGTATCTGTTCTTATCAGCTTAATATCTCGCCCAGTCCTGGTCACTCCACTTCCAGGGTCCCCCCTTGTCCTGCACATCTTGTTGCCTTGGTCAGGCCCTCTTTCTCCTGTCTCCATGCTCCCACATAGGACAGTGAGCTCCCTGAGGCCAGGAACCTGTCTTAGAACCTGATTGCCCAGCTGGACCACAATGCCTGGTACAGCAATTAGTAAAATAAGTAAATAAATAAATACTGCTGATTCAGTGATGACGTGGACTACCTAGGAAAGGCTTTCTGAGGCAGAAAGCCATGAGGAAATAAGTGTGCATGGTTAGGCAGTAATTGCCCAGAGGGGCTGAGCAAAGGAAAGAAATCAAAAGAAAATGAAATGGCTTTTTGAAACAGAGCGTATGTGGATAAGCGGTTGAACAAAGGCGGCAAAAACAGCTTCTGACGATTGAGGCCATCTCATTTTGCCTCCCCACTGGCCCTGGGGTCACTGTGGAGGTGTGTGGGGTTTTCTCTGGTGCCAGCTTCAGTGATGGCTAGAACTCCAAATGTGAAAAGCTAAGGGAATGGGTGAAGGGGCCCCAAGACCATGCTACCCACCTCTCCATTGGCATCACAGGCTGTGTGCGTGTAGAAGTAGTCTTTGTCTGTGCAGGCTGGGCGCACTTTGCAGGAAGAGGATCCTTTTTCTAAATTACAGAAGCAAGGGCAAATATATGAAGCTATGTAAGAAAGCAGACCTCTTGACCACTTGCTCATGACCTTATGACCCCCAAGACCCTGAGGTACAGCACGACACAGATTTGCCTCAGTGGCAGCATTTCTGGTCCCCAGAGCCCTGCTCAGACAGTCTTTTGTACCTCTCCCTGGTGCTGACGGGAAACCACTGGGCCTGCACTGTGGGGCAGGGTGTGGACAAGTGGACTGGCCAAAGGACTAGCAATGAGGGCAGGTAGCTAGAAAGGGCATCTTGCAGGTTAACCACCAACAATCCGTTCCCTGAACTCCCAGGTGCCGCAGAATCCTGACCGTGTGTGCGGTTCCTGTTCCTGAAGGGTTAAACCGAAATACAGGAAAGCTTAGGACAGTGCCTTCATATTCTCATTCTGATTCTTTGAATTTTCTCTTAATATTTTCTTTCCACTTTCTCCACTCACCCAGCCCCAAGCATCTCAGCACTCTAACCCTTCACCTGCACCTGATAAAAAATGTTATTAACTGTCATTTTATTTATTTTGCTCTCTGTAAGTTCTCCTCATGTCTATGTTAGTTCTTTTTAACCCTTTAAACCCCTGGGTAGCAAGAACTAGTTCAGTGAATCCCTCTTTT